GGAGACACCGTCAACACAGCCTCCAGGATGGAATCCAATGGGGAAGGCGAGATGCTATCATCATCATCATCATCATCATCATCGTCATCATCATCATCCTCATAAAATCATCATTATCATCCTCATAAAATCATCATCACCATCGTCTTCATAACCACAATCATTCTCCTCCTTCTTATTGCCATTATCGGCGCTAACAATCATCATCAAAACATCATTATCATCATCACCACCATCATCATCAAAACATCATCAACATCACTAAAAACATCATCATCATCATCAAAACATCATTATCATCACTGAAAACATCATCATCATCACCACCATCATCATCAAAACATTATCAACATCACTAAAAACATCATCATCATCATCAAAACATCATTATCATCACTGAAAACATCATCATCATCATCGCTACCACAGCCCTGAAGATTCACGTCAGCCCTAACACGAAGGAGATACTCGATTCATTCCACACATTCTACCTCACAACAAACAAGATCATTGAACCCAAGGTGATGATGATGATGATGAGGAGGAAAATGATGATGATTATGACGATGGTGATGATGATTACGATGATGATGATGAGGAGAAAGATGATGATGATTATGACAATGGTGAGGATGATTACGATGATGAGGATGAGGAGAAAGATGATGATGATTATGACAATGGTGAGGATGATTACGATGATGATGATGAGGAGAAAGATGATGATGATTATGACAATGGTGAGGATGATTACGATGATGATGATGAGGAGAAAGATGATGATGATAATGATTATGATTTCGATGCTGTTTTTTTTACCATCATCGTCGTCATCGTCATCACCATCATAATCACCACCACTACCATCATCATCATCACTGTCATTATCATCATCACCACCATCATCATCATCACCATCAGGGTAAGGCGCCGATGTTAACATGGTGGCTGTGGGGGGAGAACATTCCGGAATATCCGGATCTCGCGCCGCCGGATGCAATTCTTAATCCAGTGCATGGGAATTCCCAGAATTATGATTGAGTGATTGGCTGGGTGAATGAGAGATTGATTAATTAATTAAATAATTGATTAATTAATTATGTTCAACGAACTTTCTTAATTTCCTTAGATTTCTATACTATCACCAGTACTTCTATGTTTTGTATCTTACATAAATTCTTGTAAAGTACACAAGTGAGAGAGAGAAAGAGAGAGAGAGAGAGAGAGAGAGGGAGAGAGAGAGAAATTATAGAATACAACGGTATTCAATTATTATTGAATTAATGACTAATTGATAATTATATCATCATTAATAGTTTTTGTGTTAGGAAGCATGCCAAGATAGATTCTCTTCAGTTAGTTTAGTTTCATTCATTCGTTCGCTCGTTTCATTTTAATTTAAATGCTTGTATTGTGAATTTTATTATGAAAATATTATGAATGTGTTTCATATATATTTATTACGCTGCA